TTGTCCTGGTCTCCCGGGTCACGTTAGCTGTGCTGCTCCTATGGTTTCCAATTTGGGATGCAATCAATAGATGCTTGCGTTACCCGTGTACATGGACTAGACAGACCGGGCGGCTTGCCCTGAACTCCCCCTTCTCTTCTGTGTGGCTGGGTGGGCTGTTGAGCCAGCCGGTGCAGTGATGTGGCAGTCAGTGTTGGCCCTTCTGTGTGGAGTCTGCATGTCCTCCCGGTTCTCAGGGTGCCAAGCACACGGTGACACAGGGTGTGATTGACTACTCTAAATCGCCCCTTTCTGCGTGGGCCAGCGGCGGATCGGCATGCCGTCCAAGCTGATAGCAGCCTCGTCTTCCCACTCTCATCCTGCGTCGTGTGCTTCCGGGGTGGGACAGCATGGCACAGGTTCCTGCAAGTCTGGAACTCCCCGCTCCCCTGCCCTGGCTGGACAGTATCTGTGCAAAGCCTGATCTGCACGAGACACCAGGTAGCGGAAGCTCACTTGGACGTGCAGTTGAGTAGTGTTGATCCGGGGCCCATTGCAGGCAGGCAGGGCCAGTAGGGGCCCAGCAGGAGCAGGAAGCCTGTGTCCTTCCTCAAAAGAGAATGAAAGTCATGATCTTCCCCAGCGCTCAGCTGTTGCAGAGTGCACATGCTGCACACGGCACCACATGCCACGGCTATTTTCAGAGTAGCCACAGCACAGCTGCGCTAGCCCACTGCCTCCTGCACTGACAGGCCTTTCTAGTCTTGAGCACAGAGGCCTGCGAGGGGACCCGCCTGAGACAAGTATTCAACCACGAACCACAGTTCACAGGGGGATGTGCCTTTAAGAAACGAAACAGGAGGCACGTCTTTACCAAAATAGTGGTGGGGGTGTGGAACAGGCAGCCCAGCCACACTGTTGAGATCCTGGAATAAATATGCCTCCTCTCACTTTTTTTTGTACTCTTTCTCATTTTCTTAAGGATAAGGCAGGGGTTGGGGTCCCTGAGTGGGAGACGCCATTAGTTGTGTTTTGCTCTTTGTATATCCTGAAAGGATCTGTGGTGCGCTCAAGCTAAATTAACAGATGATCCTTAACAGGATTACTGCTGCACCCTGCCCCTTCGGCACGCCCCACTCTCCAAGTTAGAGGGACAAGACGGATTTCGAACTGTGAGCAGTACAGAATTCGAGGCGGCCGTCTCAGTGGCTCGCTCTGCTCTTGTTTTGCAAGGCTCACTGACAGTCTGCAGCACAAGCACAGGAGCTTTGGAAGCACTGCACATCCTAGTTTCAAGATCAGCGCTTCTCCGTACGGATATCCAGACACGGGAATGCAGGTTTTTTCCAGCTCCTGATCCCTCTTCTCAGCTTCCCTCCTTGCCGAGTCCATGCTGGCGCCCGCCGCCCTCTCTCCCCTGTCCCGACGGGAAGGAAGGTGTGCTGGCATGTGAAGCAGTTTCTTCTTTCTCTGATCCATCCTGAGCTCTCGGGCCGCCTGGAATCCCCTAATTCCAGGGCTGAGGTGCGTTTCCGAAGGGAGTCGGGGCAGGACTGAGCTCTCACTCGCAACTCCTGCAAATATTTCATGTGCACGTCTCAACGCGTCACAGCTGTGGTGTCGGTTTGACATACTTGCCGAGCACACATGAATTTGCCAAGCGCTCGTACGCCCTGTAGACAGGACTGGTGCTGTGTGCAGGCTGTCTGATACCCCTGACTCTCCACGGCTTTATCTGCCTCTCAAGGTGCTGTGAACTGTGACCTGTTACAGCACTGCTTGCGCTAAATGTCCCCCAGGTGATTCTGGAAGTCCCTGACCCGCAGACCCGATTGCTCCAGCACCAGAAAGGCAGCTCGTGTCTCTTCGTTAAGCACCCAACGGGCCAGGAGGGCCGAACTCCCTCCTCTCGTCCCTTAACCATTCCTACGTTCTGATCACAGACACCCCTAAACTTTCAAATCCGCCTGGGCTCCTAAACGCCCTTCAGATGTCTGTGCCGGCACCCCCCGTGTTGCCCCCGCTGAAGGCCTGGCAGACTTTACAGCCTGTGAACCGGTCGGCCCAGGTCAGGAGCGATCTCTCGGCCCCTCACACAGCAGCCCCAGTAGACGACTCGCTTGTTCGAAGCTCGGCTCCGAGCTGCTCACTCTGCATCGGCAAACACTTTGTCATCGGCAAACACTGGGTATCCAGTTCCCAGTCCCGAACGATTCCGATG